ATTCAGTAATTTTATATTTCATAGACAGATTATTGTCGGTAATAAATAAAAAAAGCGAAATTAGCTTTGTCCTTTCTAAAAGGCTTAAAATTTTAGGGATCAAAATAGATGGTATGTTTTATTACCTTTTGAAATTTGCAACAAAATGGACCCATCATTACATGCATCATTTAAATTTTGCTAATTACGATCACTTGAAACAAATAAATGTTATATATTGAATATAAACTTTATATATATATATATATATATATATATATTATGTTTTTTCATATCTTTAAATCAAATTAACGTTTTTCTTTTTCTTTTTGGATAATCAATTTTTTAAATAAAATAATTCGTAAAGGCAGTTTTTCTATTTTAAATTGAAGGGGTGTAATTATTCATTAAATCTATGCTACCTTATAAACCAGATTTATCAAAAGTCTTAAAAACAATTTTTAATTCATAAAGTACTATACATTTGTACACAAAGTCTTAAAAACAGCTCATAATGCATTAAGTAATCTTAATCTACAATTAAAATAACATATAGCACAAGTTATCAATGTACGTTATTACCTTTTTTTTTTAATGTTCTCAAGATACTTTTGACACATTTCACTCATGTCTTCACCCTTTCATAACTTTATATGTCTTCTTCCCATCCCTCAAGGTAAGATTCAAACTGATATTCACCATGAGTTATTAAAAATTCTCTCATTCATCTCTCATTCAGTTGCTCTAGAACTCTTGGTCTCCCTCTCGATCTCTTGATTATTTGTTTTTTGTGTAAATCGAACACATTTATGGAGTCGTTTAAATATGTTGAATTTTAAATATATTAGATTTTAAACTGTCATACAATTTTTTTCATCGACAGATTATAATTGGAACTATAACTCTTATTTATTCAAATTGAATTAATATATAATGACCAAATGTAACTTATATCATCGTTAAATTTTCTCTAATAAAACAGTAAAACTTCAAAATCGTTAAAATTCACTACTCCCGCCGTATTACACAGATACACAACTAGTAACATTATAAACAGAAATCATAAAAACCATTAAGACGTAACTTTTTGAAGACCGTTTTTATTACTATGATATTTGACATGTGATCAAGTAACTTTACAAAATGAAAAGACCCAAAGTTAAATAAAATAGATTAATTGCATAGAAATACGAGTTCTCATATTCTTAATTAATAATTTTGAATTAAAAATAAACACAAATTCATTACTCTTTACACATTGCACATTCTTCAAAATCGCAAATTATTTACTAATTATTTTTTTATTACACATACAAAGATATTATATATACACACGCAATTGTTGTTGAAGTCATGACACATGCTTAATTATTGGTATGAATTTGGGATCATGTAAGACTAAGGATTCTTCGTGAGATTTGTAAAACCAATTTTCAATCTTTAGTTTTAATTTATAATCTGAACATTTATAATCATAAAATTGTCATGAGACTTCTCAATAATCACAAAATTATCACATTACAACTTTAAATCATTAGATCATTAGATTATAAAGTTAATCAATGAACATAAATTGAATTTACGGGTCTCACGAAAAACCATTGGTCTCACGTGAACCCAACCCTATTGGTATGTGTTTTTAAATGTGTATATATAGTATTTAATTAGTTAATAATTGGATACTAAAATTTTAGATAAATACGTTTATTATAGTTAATTTTTTTGGAAAAAAATAGAATAAAACTGATTTATGATTATAAATATTATAATGTAACTTTTTTAATAATAAAACATATTATATAGAATAAATATTATGTTTCGAATTTTGTGTATAAACTTATCATAAATTTAATTATAATATTGACAAATGTTTTCCTTACCGTCCCACGAGCTTTGTTTCTTCATGTACAATTCGTATAGATCCATAAACACGGTCCATATAATTTCCATATATATATATATATATATATATATTTATTTAAGAATGAATTGATTAGTTTGTGTTAATTGTGAGATCCAACGTAGGCTAATTATTTAAGATAATTAATAATTTTTTAAATAAAATAGAAGTATAAATTAGTCATTAATATTTTTTACAGGTTTGTGTTTATGTTTACATTAGTTTTGAACTTCTTTTCCTCTTTAAAATAACATTAGTATGCCATTAGGGTTAAGTTCTTCGATTCTTTACTTTCTCCTCCCCGGAAGGTCACTGCATTCTTTATAGCAAGGAGCCAAAGAGCTGACCTAAAAGCAGAAGCTGCCTTGATCTTCTACTTATTGAACGCCAAAGGAGACTGATTCAAAAACTGCTATCCCACGACCAAGATTCTTCCTCCAGCTTTTCATACTTTTGGAGAACTTCCATCAACCAAGGAGACGAAAAGCTCTGTGAAGTAAAAGAAAAAAAAGGATCGCCGATTGCTACATAAGAACCAAACAGAACTTTTCAAAATTGAAAACGGATCAGTCGACCTGGTCTACGAACCTATTCTAACTATCAACGAATTATGGACTTCTATTGTGTGTGTTACAAAATTGAATAAAATTATAAATATTAATTTTTGAGGTAGAAATATAGAATTTAAATTGTGATGTTTATAGTAATAAATGGATTCATTTATATATCAAAAGTATAAATAAAGGAAGGAAGAGTGTAATTAATTACTCCATCATTCAATTGTTTAATTTTAGAATCCAATTCCACCGAAAGTTTCCAACAATGCCATGAAAGCTTGCAACTTGTATGGTCTATACATACATCTCTATTAATTTTAATAATGATTTTATTTTTTATTTATATTTATTACAAAAATAAATACGTACTTCTTTTAGAACGACAAATTTTATAAGAAAACAGAACTAGTGAGGAGTTAAGAGTACATCAGACTGTTACACCGTATCCTTCCCCTAAAAAAACTCGTATGTTTCTGAGAGCATTCAAGATGTCCTTTATTGGAAAAGAGAGTATCCATTGTGTCGTAGCCGTGAGGAAAGGTTGTCCACCATCTATGAAGAATGATTGTCACCTCTCGAGCCACCTTGCATTGAATCATAATACGTTGCAACGATTCAACTTTCTCGTTGTACATGGGACAGAAAATAGATTGGACAAAGATCTCTCTTTTCACGAGATATAACTTCCCCGAAACCAAACTGCACCAACTGGTCTTCACAGCGGACCTAGGAAGGTGCGCTAGTCGTCAATTGTTAAACGAAGCAAGGCAACCGAGAAATCCCCATTGTTTTCCAACCTCCATTTCCAGTAATCGTTCCGAGCCGTAAACCTACCTGCAAACGAATCGAGGCTAAGTTTTCCAGCTCTTTAGCCCCCCTATCCCCCCGCAACTCAAGCAGGCACCTCCGATTCCAATAAAGTTGGCAATCGTTCTCATCTCTGGTGATTCTTTGATTAACCAAGCATAAAGGCTCCCTTTTCGTTGCAAAGAGCCGAGGGAAAATTATCGAGAGTGGCCTCTCTCCGCACCATCTCTCCTTCCAGAACCGAGTATCGTTCCCAGACCTGATAGTCTTGGAAATCAACATGTCCAACGAGAGGTTGAGGTTGTCGAATCAACTGTCCACACGAAGAATGTTAGACCACACTACAACAAAATCGGGTTTATAGGACACTCTCAAATTCTAAATGTACTAATAGACCTCTTTATAGGACTTAGTTTATAGGACCAAAAAAATAAAGTGTCCTATCTAAAAGTGTTGTAATAAGTTTATATGACGTTTTTGGGCGTCTTAACAAGTTTTTTAAGGACATTTTTAATACAAAGTGTCGCATTAACAACTTTATATGACACTTTTGAGAAAGTGTCCTATAAACTCATTTTTTTTACAGGACACTTGTTTTTATAGGACAATTTTTCAAATAATGTCCTATAAAGTTGAGAATGAGACACTTTATATTAAAAGTGTTCTAAAAAACTTAATACGACGCCAAAAAAAGGTCATATAAACTTATTACAACATCTTTAGATAAGACATTTTATAAACTAAGTCCTATAAAGATGTCTATTAGGACACTTAGAATTTGAGAGTGTCCTATAAACCTGATTTTGTTGTAGTGTCAAGTCCCGGAATTCCGTTCCATCATACTCGATTATCCCGTCCCTCCATTTCTACCATAGATGGTCGATATTACCTCCTTCCACAACATATTGTGCTCGTTTTGGTACCTCCACAAGTTTTCATATATGGAGGTTGAAGTTGGCATAAAATCAGTATCAACCAAAAAAAATCATATCAAATATAATTGGTTAAGACATGGTATAAGATTTTGCATACCAATTATAATTAGTTGGTATATACCATGCGATAGAAAAAAACTTGATAATTATTATTTTTACTAACATTATTATTGAATTTATTCTTAGAATATGCTTCCTAATTACCTACCTCACAAAAGTGAAAAGCCACTTGGGCCAGTTGAAGTCAATTACAAGCAATACAATTAGTTAATTAATTATAGTAATTAAGCTAATTATATCAAAGGGGAATATGAGGTAACCATATGTTAACTTCCACCCTACAATTGCAAGTAATAAAGCACAGCATCCATCTAAAGTTATATAGAAAAAGTGAAAACCCAAAGTTAGCCTCAGCTTTACACCTCCAATTCTCCAATCCCCATCCTTATATTCTCTCATCCCCATTACCACATTATACATACACCCACTTGTATCTATATCTCACACACTAAACACAAACTTCTCTCACACACTAAACACAAACTTCTCTCACACACTAGTGCATTGAAGCACCCTATATAACTTAGTTTGTCAATCTCATAAGATCCCCCTTCTTTCATCTCTCTCTGTCTCTCTTCCCTCAAAGCTATAAACTCCATTGTCATAGCTTCAAGTTTTATGGGTAGTGAACATACAATCAAAACCCTGATTGAATCCCACATTTCTTTAGCGTTCACAGTGAGTTGCTTGATCATCACCAGTGGTGCTTCATACCGGAAAGAAGTTGTAGGAAGATCTAATCGAAGTTGAATATTTCCATAAATGGCAACACATTCCTTTGTTTCTTGTTCTTGCTATGTAACCTTCGTGTTCCTGACGATTTCCAAAGGTAAGCAAAAGTTTTCCTTTTTGCCCGTTTTGGATTCGATGTATATCTATTGAATCTTGAAGCACCATCAAGAAAACTATGTTCTGCCCCTTATTCAAATGAGCCATTTTGATGTTACGGACGTCCCTGGTGATGCATGATCATCCGTGTGACATCAAGCTTGAGAAGACATCTTTAACCATCCCCTACATTGCTTTAGGGTTATTAATAAACTGTTTGAATTAAATTTTGTATGCAAACACTAACGATTTTTCTTCTTTTGATTTTGTAACTTCAGGAATATTGGGGGGTACATTCACTTTCAAAAATAGGTGTGATTACATGGTATGGCCAGGGATATTATCAAGTGCCGGAAGTACACCATTAGATAGCACCGGGTTCGAACTCAGCCCGGGTGAATCACGCTCCTTCCAAGCCTCACCCGGTTGGTCCGGTCGATTTTGGGGTAGAACCGGCTGCACCTTCGATGCAAGTGGTCAAGGAAGTTGTGCCACCGGGGATTGTGGCTCCAACCAAATGTCATGTAACGGAGCCGGGGCGACCCCTCCAGCAACCCTAGCAGAATTCACAATTGGGTCAGGGTCTGGACCAAGCACCCAGGATTTCTACGATGTGAGCCTAGTAGACGGCTACAATTTGCCGATGGCGGTTGATGCTAGTGGTGGAACAGGTGCGTGCGGTACAACAGGGTGTGTGACAGATTTGAACCGAATGTGTCCCACCGAGTTACGTGCAGGAGATGGACAAGCATGCAAAAGTGCTTGTGAGGCTTTTGGGAATCCGGAATATTGTTGTAGTGGGTCATTTGGATCGCCAGATACTTGTCGTCCGTCTGTTTATTCGGAAATGTTTAAATCCGCTTGCCCAAGATCGTATAGCTACGCTTACGATGATGCTACGAGTACGTTTACGTGCACCGGTGCGGATTATACGATTACATTTTGTCCCGCATCGACAAGGTTAGAATGGTTTAACTTTTTCAAAAACTTCTTATTATCGGTTTGACACCGGTATAAAAGTTGTTTATCCAAACACTCAAAAGTGTTTATTATCGGTGTCATACCGGAATAAGTCAATAAGTTGTTTTTATAAGCAATCTCAAACACCTCCTTCATGATTCGGTGATAACATCATAAATACATGATTACTAAATCTCTTTTCTTATTTCAGTCAAAAATCTTCCACGGATTCATCGGTACCGACCTCAACCGGAACAACAACGAATGGCTCACCAGATCCGAATGGGTCATCATGGCTGCCAAGTTTCACCATTGGAGGATCATCAAGACCAAATTCCGATAATGCCCTCCTATTGACACTAATTTCATTTATTGCCCTCCATTTTTTCCATTAATGAGAAGTTTATAAAAATAGAGAATTGTAATTATATGAGCAATTTTGTATAGAGATGTTCTAGAATTGCTTCAACACGTTTGGAAATACATAATTTATATTATTTTTCAAATAATTCCCATTATTTTTTTTCTATTTTTTTATGAACAACGTACTTTAGATCTATGAGATCTGGTATGGCTTCTAAATATATTGTGACCACCAAAAATCTAAACTCGCCACAATTGTAAATATCATGTGAAACTTGGGAACCGCTCGTTGTGAGCACTTTAATAAAAAAAATTATTAGGATTCGTTACATTGTGTTTACAATGTGTTCACCTTATCTGCATATTTAATTGTACGTGTGTATATGTTAATACGGAGATAAAAAAGAGAAGATAAGAGAGAGCGAAGAGAAAAAGAGATGTGTTTCCTAAAAAATGCATTAATTTTTGTTTAAGAAATAATGATAATTATCTCTTCAATTATCTCATTAATTATCTTAAATTAGTGGTTTAGAATAGAACTCACATATTTTGGAGATCTGAAAATGATTAAATCCATATATATATATATATATAATACGTATACATACATACATATATATAGAGAGAGGGGGAGGTTCAGAAAAAAACCTCAAAAAAAATGAGAAAACGAAGAACACTCTAGTAAACGTTCACCTGGACCATATACACATGTGCATATAAGTAATTGAAGTTATTTTTTGCTTTTATGCACGTGTGCATGTTATGCACTTGTGCACACCGGAAAAATTGCTTAAATATTACTTGTATGGACATGTGTATATGGTCGAGATAAACGGTTATCAGGGTGTTCCTTATTTTTTTAGTTTTTTGAGGTTTTCCTCTAAATCTGACCTTATATATAATATATATATATATATATATATATATATATATACACGCACACACATACACATAAACACAGACAATTTTACATACATATACAAATCATTTACAAACCATGAAAAAGTTAGAAACTATATGAATCAATCAAGATCGTCCAACCCATTTCATCTACCATTCATTTAAAATAATGGCATAACTAATAGTTTCAAAATCATTTGCTCAATAGATTACCATATTTGAAAATTTGGGGTTTCTTAAAGGATCACGAAAATTGTTCACCACGATTTATCCTGAATTAGTACATCAGAATCTATTCCAACAAAATCAAATTTGAGAAGAATATTTGTTGACCAATGATAACTGGTGCTTCATCAATCTTTACCTTTATAAAATTTGGGTAGTAGCTGTAATATAATTTCCATTATAATATGGGTAAAAGAAAAAGGTATTCGATAAGTTGTAAAAATAGTAAGTTATTTCACCAGTGCAATAAGTTGTTTCATCAGTGAAACAAAGTTGTTTCACCAGTGAAATATTTTGATGAGAGCATTGTTTCATATGAAATCTTCAACTGAGGCTTTGTTTTCTTCAAAATCACGTGTTGGTTACACCAGTTACATGTAACTCTATTTTCTTCGATACATTGATTTATTTGGAATCTTCATAATTACTGTAACAAAACAATGCATTCACTACAAAACAAAGGGGCTTTTTAGACGGAAGTTTCCGTGAAAGACACCTAGTTTTCTTGTAGTGGTTGATAAAGTTATTTGGTAACACCGATGAACTTCGACTCTATTTCCATCTCTTGCTTAAACCTAATTTCTTCAACCACATTGTAATGAGATTCATCGGATACTCATTGAAATCATCATGATCCAATTAATATTGTTTATGCACAACAGTCTAATGATTATAACTCGTGCTCGGTCAAAACGTTGCAATTCAAGAAATTATTGAGAATAAATGATGGGTTTGTTGTAGATGAGTTTTTTTAGGAAACCGTTTATTATAGAATGATGATGTTGATATCCTGTAATATGTCGACTTTGTCATTTGAGAAAAATACCTTTTTTGATAAAAATAAAAACAATCCATAATCTAGAAATGCTTGGGCAAGATTGTGATCATGATGAGTTCATTGGATTTGTAACATTTAGGTGGCTTTTATTTGATTTTGAACATAGACACATACAGGGTCAGTCTCAAATGAGAAAACGGTTAATTTGAGAAAAAAACGTGAAGAAAATCTAAACTATGTAACCCACTGAAAAAAACGACAAATAAAAAATTGAAAAATAATTTTAGAAATTAGTTTAATTATCATTGTAACTTAGGATAATTATCATATTAATTGACTAGAAGGGTACTCGCACAATGCAGCGAGATACATATTGGTTTTAATGTTTCGTTTTATTTTGTCTTCTGTTGATGTTATAATATGGTTTTATGTGATAATGAGAAGAACGATAACGTTTTTTATTTTTGAATAAAATATAAATTTGAGAATATCATAAAATTTTGAAGAAAATATATCGACATTGATATTAAGTTAACTATTTAAAAGTTCTTGTTTTGTTATGTAATTTTCTTAATTCAATTTGTTTTATTATAATTTAATTTAGGTTTAATAACGAAGTAATTTATTTTTGATTTAAAAATATAATGTTTTATAAATATAATAATTAAGTATTTTGTTAGAAAACAACGATTATCTTAATTATATTTTAGATTTTTTATATTTAAAATAAAATATTTATTCTTTATTTGATTATGTTTATCTGCAGTTAGCTACACGAATTCAAACACGGAGCTTTAATAAGTTATACTTATGCATTATTTTTTTGTAATCTTAAATGTTTAGTAATATGCATCAATAAACAGTAGTTCATGTATAAAAAATAATTTTTAAGAGTTTTGTCAAATGTTTTATATTACAGTATAGATAATTAATAGTTTTAAATTTGTTTATTTTTAAATTGTAATTAATTCATAATTTTTTATCATGTTTTATATGATTTTTTAATTATTTTTCAGATACACTTTGATAAGATTTCTTTTCATAATTTCTTCGAATATCACATGTGATATCCACAATCAATCTATTATATTTTCACAATTTTTTCTCTATTTTCTGAATTCATGTTTTTAATTATGATTAATTACGTTTAACATATGATCCACTCTGGTGAATTTTGTTACAAATCACATGTGATAAAATACGTGTGAGTACAAATTACATATTATCACATGTGATTATATGCATGTGTGTATAAGTTACATGCTAACACATCTTTTAATATACGTTTGAGTATAAGTGGCTGTGACATATTATTATATGTGATACTATTTGCATCATAATAAAATCTATAAATGTAAAAAAACATAATCACATATGATTAGCAAAAACGACTACAATTATCACAATGATTATACGATCATCAAATAAATTATTATTTGTGACAATAAAAAACTGTAATCAAATTGTTATAAATTTATCTTTATAATGTAATCAATTTATCAGGGATTATCAGAAATCCCTTTCGGGAATGAGAAGCAAAATCAATCTCGATTTATTAGAAATTATTCCCACAGATACAGATAATATTATATTCAAAATTATGTAATATATTTTTTAATAAATTTAATAATGTTTTATTTAATCTATTTACTAGATAAAGTATACATCACATATTTCTACTCTCTTTTATCACAAATTAATTTCCTTTTCATATGATCCTCCTTTTAAATATATTATCCTTAAAAGATCAAAATTGAGTTTAGTGGAAGGTGGGGTGTCAATTCAAGCATTCATTGGTGGTATCCTCATAAATATTCATGTTCCAAAAATATTTGTTTGAATTGGGTAAAAAAAAACTTATCATTTTTGTTTTAAGGGGATTTAATTTTTAATTTTTCTAATAAATAAATCTTTATACTTACTGAAACTCAATAAAATGATATATTCTTTGTTATGACCGTGTTGTTTTTAAATTGGTTTAGAAGTTGAGGAGGGTTTCTGATTAGTTGTGAAAAGTTGAGCGGTGTATTTTGAATAATTGGTTTGAAATTTTAAAAACTTCCACCCCTTCATGTGGAGAAAAAAAATATATATATATAAAAGCTATTGAAGACAGAAGATTTTGTGATTTATAGTGATTATTTAAAGTTGGGTTTGGGTTGTGTTTTAATGCAATGGGGAAAATTCATTGTTTATGCTTCCATACAACTGAAGAATCATGAAAAACAATACCTTACTCATGAAATGAAACTTGCAACTATCGTTTTTGTCTTGAAGATTTAGAGACATTATCTGCTGAGAACTAAATGTCAGATTTATTCAGATCACAAAAATCTTCAACATCTGTTCAATCAGAAAGAGTTAAATATGAGGCAAAGGCGATGTATAGAATCGGTGATTGATTACGACTGTGAGATTATTTATCATCCTGGAAAGGTGAATGTGGTGGCTGATGCACCTACTAGAAAATAAAAGAGTAATACCATCAAAGTTGTTGCCTTGCGAGCTAATCTGATCCCTAACATTCTTGATGAGATTTTGAGATGTCATAATGAAGCTATTAAAGACGAAAATGTAAAAGCAGAAAGAATTAGAGGAGTGTTGGTAAACCTGGTAAAGGACGATAGTGGAATTTTACACTTTGAAGGCAGAATTTGGGTACCTCTCTTCGGTAACAACCAAGAGATAATATTGGATGGAATTCATAAATATCGGTATTCGATTCACCCGAGTACTAACAAGATGTACAGAAATTTGAAACTATTTTACTAGTGGTCGGGATTGAAAAGGATATTGACAATATGTAGAACGATGTCTAACATGTCTACAAGTAAAGATAGAATGTCAACGACCCTAAAGAAATTTACAATCGTTAGAAATTCTAATGTGAATGGGATCATATTACAATGGGTTTCATAACGAAACTACCAAGAACTCCGAAAGGGTATGATGCTATATGGGTGATTGTAGATCGTTTGAAAAAGTCTACACACTTCTTACTGAGTAAAGAGGCATACCCATAGGAACAACTTGCGAAATTGTATATTGATGAAATCTTAACTCGACATGGTGTTCTGTTGTCAATCATATCAGATACGTACAGTCGATTTACCTCGAGATTCTGGGGAA